GTTATCGTGGCGTTATCTCGGAAGTAGTTCAGCTGTCAGTGTTATAAGTTCTGTGATTATTTTCATTTATAACTTTAATTTATATAACTTGCATGGCAGAAAATTGTAAATTATTTATGCAAAACAATGCCTAGGTGCAATAATTGGTTATGTGTCATCGATATCCCGCAAACCGAGCAATATTACGTTTCAGCGGTAAGTTACACACTTTCTTAGAAAAACAGTATTTAAAACGTAAGTAAGTTATTCTGAAAATGATTGCGTGTATAAATCGATACATATCGTATTTTGGAGTGTTCTATTTATGTTATTATTGCTCTTTTCGTTTATATTTTTATAATATTTCGGTCCGTAAATAATGTTGTTTACATGGCTATTGTTGTTACTTTAACATTTGGTTTATATCGATAATTTTATTATTTAAAAATATATTCATTATTTTAGATTACCAAAAGATGAAACAAAAAGAGGAATATGGCCGAGTTCCATTGGAGCAGAAAATATTAAATATAATGAAAAAGTTACTTTTATCTGCTCACTTCATTTTAGGGAAAGTTGTTTGGATCGAACTTTAAATATAATAAAATTACGAGATGATGCATTGCCAATCAAATACGCTGGTAAGAATTTTTGACAATTGCTTTTAACTTAATTTTATAATTTTTTTGTCTATTACACTTAGTTAATTTTCATTTGATTTTACTGATTTATTTATTTAGTTTTTTATATAGTCATTTTGTTATTCTATAAATGTACCTTATTTTTAGTCTTGCGGTCATATGACAACAATTTAATTGAAAAAAATCAGAATGCAATATATAATAATATTAAAATAAAATATACTCCCAGTAAAATTACAATAAAATGAGTTAAATCATTTTAATAAAAATTTAAAGGTTTTCTTTGCTGTTCAATAGTATAATCTTAATACCCAAATAATTATTTTGCGGCGTGGCTGTTTATTTTGCTGATTCATCATAAAATACGCTACCTTTTTATATTTAAATTGCTGACCGTTATCATGGTTGTTCACAGAACATGAATTGCAGACAGTTTTAGTGCTGAGAAAATATTTGTATGCTTGCCCAGTGATTTATCGGCTTTTTTTTTATTTTTTTTATGGGATATGGGGCAGACGAGCAGATGGATCACCTGATGGTAAGTGATTACCGTCACCCATGGACACCTGCAACACCAGAGGGGCTGCAAGCGCGCTGCCGCCCTTGGAGGGAAGGGTTGAGGGGTAGAGGGAAGGGAATAGGGAGGGGTTGGGCCTCCGGTACCCTCACTCACACGACGAAACACAACGCAAGCGTTGCTTCACGTCGGTGTTCTGTGAGGCCGTCGAGCCGGCCCATTCATGCCGAAGCGTGGCTCTCCCACGATAACGGCTGTTTTCTTTTTGCTAATCAAATTTTTAATCAAAATGCCAATTGTTACTTTTTTAATAAATTATATCACTTTTTCATCTACCAACTTTGTTTTCTTTATTTTCTCTTGTTTATTCATCAAAGTTTCTTTGACAAATAATATAATACAAAGATTATGAAGGTGTTTCAATTTTTCTATGTTTACTACTAAACAAGATGCTCTGAACTAAAATTGTGACACAGTACGCACGGTATCTCACTTAATGAGGAGTAAGCGAAATTTATTCAGTCAATACAATTTATTGAATAAATTTATAGACAAGTTGGCTTACTAGTTACAAGCATATAAGAAAGTCGAAACTCTGTGCTTATACTTCGTAAATCTATTACGGGAAACCTTGTACCGAGAAAAGAAGAAGGGGAACCGGTAAGAAACTGCAAATGCTGCTTTTGCACCCTGTTTAATTTCGTACTGAAAAATAAAAAATGACTTCATTGCACCAAAATCTCACTTTCCACTATAACAATAAAAAATATATAACAGACAAAAAAAAAACATAATAATTCATTTGTCAATCGACTCATTTAAAGCTTATTATAGTTACCGTGGCAGTTATCTTGGACTGTGGTCACACTTCCCGTGGATGCAAAATTAAACTTATGTTAAAAAACTATTTAATTATAGTTGCAAAATATCAACTTTACAATATACAGGAATAATTTAAAACCACTGCGAAGATTTTGTGAAAATAAACTTTAAGTAATTTAAACAAACACGTATTTTTTATTTTGATATGTTCTAATACTAAAAAATAAAGTTATCGCTTATCAAAGATCGAGATTTTAAAACTTAATTTATGGACACCGCGCGCCGTGCGTCAGCTGAGTGCTCGCTCGACGCCGTACTCGTAGGTATCTACACGGGTCACTGACCGCTCACTTTGTTAGATTCGAACTAGATTTTATGCCATGATCTGAGGTGATTTCTAAGAGTAATTCCAATTTTCCCTTCATACTTTTATGGTTAAGGCCATCAAAATGCAAAAAAAATAAAAGAGAAACAAATTCGTTACCTAGAAAAAATATTAACGTACTTCTGCGTTAAGGCGTATTTAAAAAAATTGGAATCAACTACGTATTTTCAATAATGTTGAATCAAAACAAATACCTAACTAATTAGTCTAATTACTTACCATGTATTTTAATATTTGTTCAAAATGAAGTCCACGTCTGTCCAGACATAAACGTGCACATTTAATTAAATTGTCATTTAATTTATTTAAAACACTAGTGTCACTTTTCACTTCACTAAAAGCGTTATTTTATTATTTTTTATTGTTAAGTCTTCTAGACTTTGTGCCTCCTCTACATACCGGCGTTTGACTTCTTCCCATAAGAAACAGTCCCTCACGTGTGAACAATGCCTCATCCGTCCACAAGATGTTTGCATCGCGGTGATGTAGAAGCCACTCCCATAAGGCTCGACGTGGTACTGGGTCTAGGTCATGGAACTGCTGAACCGGCTGAAAGTGGTACGGATGGCTGTTTTTAGGAGCTTCAATACCGCAGGCTGGCTCACACCAAAGAGACATGCCGCATCGTGGGTACTGACTCTGGGACTTCGTCTGTTAAAATGGTTGGAAGCATTAGGGACTGCGGGGTTACGGATCCCAAAGGCCCGCATACAAGGTATGCTCTTCGTCGCATACTTTCTCCGAATTGCGCTTATGTAGGTACTCACTACTCAGAAGATAAACTCGTACCATCTCGTAAAACTCACGACGGTGGGCGCGTCACGTCGGCGCGTGCGTATGAGTCTCACTGCCGCCACTGTCGCGCGCGTTGCTCGGTCCCGGCGGGGCGACGGGGGCTGTGGCGGGGGGCTACCGGGCGTGGCGGGGATGCACGGTGGTATACGCAAGAGAAGACGTTTTCATTTTTAAGTTTTATTTTTAAAAATGTGTCCATATTCTACCGTTTCAATAGGGATAAAAATATTTTTTAAAAAATGTAAACTAATCATGGAATAGTGTTCTATTACTGATACTGAATCACCAAAAAAAATTTTTGCACTGGAAAAAAAATATTCCTGTATATGGAAATAATTATAAAACACGATTGATATTATTGTAAAACTTTTAAGGTATATAATTTGGTACTATAGTTCTTAAAACTATGTAAAATTGTCTATATTAGAGGAAAAAGAAACATATTTATCGAGGTACAATCATATTATAAAATAAAATTTATATAGTATAAATGTGAAAGTTTGTGAGAATGGATGTTGGTTACTCTCATGCAAAAACTACTGAACGGATTTTGATGAAATTTGGAATACGAATAATCTTTTACCGGTGGGAAGCGCCATCATACGCTGGTAACATAGGTTATAATTACTATACTGACGCAACGGAGTCGCAAGAACAATGAGACTTTTAGATGTCCAACAAAACACGAGCAAAAGATTGCTTAAAGATTTATAATTAATTGATAAATTCACGCCACTTTTAACAAAATATTATTTTCTTAAAACTGGCGTGAATTTATCTATTTAATTAATAATAATCATAAATAGGATTGGTACGTAAGTGTGAAACGAATAGAAGTATAATAGGTAATAGTTTAGCCATGCCCCTAACAATGGAAATTATATTACTTTATTTAATAAGTAGTTGTTTTGTAGCAGTTTCACGAAATACTAACTTTTATTTAATATGACTTCAATGTCGATACAAATATCGATATCATGGGTCACGCCCTATGACAGTCCGCCTTCAAAGAATTTGCATTTCAAGTTTAGGCATATACGCTTTTTTCGTAGGTAGGGCCGGTCCTCTTCTTTTATGTCTATGGGAGCAACAAGTCTTAAGTCTATGCCTCTACATCCGAGGATGATTTTCTTTCTCACTCAGATTTTCCATCCAATTACCGTCCCAAACAACACTAACGGTGTTCTTATTCCGCACATGAGCCGTATTCTGGAGATTGACCGATTGCGAAAAAAGTTGTTGCATTTTAGCAAATACTGACAGTTTATATCCGTCTTCCCGATTGAAGTTATTAGGGTGTTTCTTAATTGCAATCGCTTAACGCAATACCCAAGAATAAAAATCCGTGGAAAGGGCTTGCGTATGGCAAAACTTGATCCAGTGAATTGTGCCCCTTTCCAGTCGATGTTCTGCAATGGCAGACTTACTCGACTAACGGTTTTTGACAGCTGCTATGTCTAATACTCGTTATTATAAGTATTTAATAATGCACCTCTAGTTTGAATCCAAAAATAATTAAAAAAAAAAAACTCATTCACATGCATTACGACATTGATTACGATGTCACATTGACATTTCGATAATATGTCTAGAAATGCATGTCATAACTGGCGGCATCTTGTGTGTGTGTGTACCATCATTGAAGTTTCTTTTATAAGCGACAGCCCTACATGTTTAGGCTATTATCTCTCGCTCGGGTCTCGAGTGCACCTACATATATATTTATACTATGCTTTGGGACATTTAAACTATGTTTTATTCAATATACATAACGATATTGCTCTTGTTATCGATGTCGATAATTTTGAGTATTTGTGTTTATCGGTATACCAATATATATATAAATATCGTACATCCCTAGAAAAGTCTAAGGCATTCCGGTGGGAACGAATAAAAAAAAGCATAGATAATATTGGTTCTGTGGTTGCTATAAAAACTCGTAACTTGATTAACTTCTTTAGCGACAATAATGATATGAATTTGAAATGGCTTCGAATCTATTGAAAAAAGTCGTTTCTGGAAATTCCCATGGTATCCGTAATGCGGTAGGGATATTTATGAATGCTGCAAGAAACCGTAAGATCCATTTTACTAGTTAAAAAGCCCGATACAATAGCAAGATACAGTTGTTACGTCATTATCTTTTTCAGATTGGAATTATCAATATAAACCGGGTCCTTACCCTAAAACACCTGAGGAACGTGCTAGGGCAGCACAAAAATATGGATTAACGGTTGAAGAGTATCAACCTTACCCAGAAGATATGGGATATGGTGATTATCCTAAACTGCCCGATATCGGTGCAGACTCAAAAGATCCCCATTATCCATACGACTGTCCTGAATTGAAAAGAAACTTCAATGAGCCTGTAAGATGCTAAGTTTCATCTCATTTAAATATATACGTAATCAATAAATGTTTAATCATGGCAGTGTAATTAGTACAATGGTTACATTTTACCTATTTCAGGTTCATGCAAGAGCTGAAATCTTTGGTGAAGATCGTTATGACCCTAGTATGAGGCCTAGAATTCCATTGGCACAGCAATGGACTTGGTTTCTAGGAGTTGTTGGTGGATCATTAGCGCTCTATTTCTACCTAGAAGATTATAAATTTGGTAGACCAGTAACTTGCAAACAATATCCTGGAAATGGAACTCATTATTTATTTACACCTAAATAACTTAATACACCATGTATAAAAATTTAAAAATTAAAGTTGAATAGTTTCTTTCACTGTTGTTATTTTATATGCAGATATATAATTTCGTCATATAAGCAGGGTTTAATTCTAGTTATATAAAAATAATACCAACAGAATTGACCTCATGCCCATCAAACAAAAACCGAACAGTCAATGCAGTTATTTATTAAACATTTAAGAACCTAAAAATATATTAAGATAGTGTTTTTGAATAATAAGTCATGGCCTTATTCTCAGCAAATGTCATTAAAATACTAACTTACCTTAATTATACTATTAATGGAATGTATCAATTAATTTTCTGTTGGAACAAAAATTTGTTCAGTACAGGACAATGTTAATATTTTTGATAAGTGACTTGTTTAGAAATGCCTTTTCAAAAGGTAATACTGTGTTGAAATTATATGTTCATATGGATTGAGGAAGCCTAATATGGATATTAAAAAATGTACAATACTTTTAATGTAGAATTCTCAATCTATACAAAGTTTCTTTAGAAGTAATCATTTAATTTATATGCTACTAGAAAAACCTATAGTAGTGTGTTCAAATTTCTAGCAGAATAGACGAGATAGTAAAAGACAGTAATTTTAATAAATTTTAACTTACCATATTGTACAGTAAATCAGCAAACATACTACCTTCTAGGAGTAAATATTATTCCCATAGGACCTCATACTAGCTTAACTTTTACCAAGTCTCTATTTAATAATATGAATCTTGGCTAATACTAAGTGCAGTCTCAGTGTAAATTTACTTCAATGCTAAACATTGTCTATAAATAACACTGTACATGCTAAAAACTAAAACATCAAAATGCAAACAAATCTTTATTTATATATGCTAGTAAAATATTCATCTTCAAGATCATAAAGGTCTGCAGCAATATCATCACGGAGAGACATTAATTTCTGATCACATTCTTGCTGTTTAGTTCGGAATAGTTTAGAGTTTTGTGTTATAGCTTCGTTGACTGAAGGGAAGTCATTTAAAATCAAATATTGTTTAATGTCTGACACTAGTTTCATTAAAGATTCACCAGCTCGAACTAAAACAAAAAAGAAATAGTTTTTATGCTAACCTCGAAAACTCATAATAAATTTGTCATTATATATTTTGAGATACCAATATTAGCAGCTCTAACTTGCATTTCAAATGTATCTTGCTCTATTTGAGTCATCCTGTTAAGTTGTGATTCACTTTCACCTCTCTCCCCTTTAGCAAGTTTTATAATCTCTGAAAATAAAAAAGTATAATTATCCAATATTGAAATTGTGATAGGGATTGAAACAATGAACTTTCTACACAATAGCTGTCCTAATTATCATCCCATGATGAGAAGTAATCAATTAGTAACTACAATTTTTCAAAGTTGAACCAAGTCAACACTTTGTGTAAAGGTATTCCTACCTTCAAAGTTTTCGAGCATACTTTTAATATCTTCTTTTAGCCGAGTTGTGTATGATTTTAAAAGGGCTTCTTTATTTTGTGGTAAATTTCTATGCATTTCCGCAAACTATATAACAGACAGTGTAGAGTAAAACATCAGAAAGCACAGTTTATTATTTATTATGAAATTTCTACTTATTTTAATGGCGTCCAATAATCTTTAACATAAACACAGAGGTTAAAGTAATGCTAAAAAAATTTTCATCTTGAAAAAATTTTACCCACAATTCAATTTAGACTATTATTTATTAAAAATGTGTAAGTTTATACTCAAGCCCATAAAAGACACCGTGTTTAAATACTCTTTGGTAGACACTGACAGTGACTGATTGGGTTTAGGGATGATCTATACGATCAAATCGCAGTGTACAACGAATTGTCAGTTGTACACTTTAATGTCAAAGCTGCTATGTTCAGCTTGAAAACATCGATGTTTTGTCACCGATCATCTATAACATCGGCACAACGATGTTTTCTAGCCAAACATCGAATCAAACATGAATAAAATATCAATATATCCTTAGGATCATCTAACGTGCTCTAGATGTACTAGCTAGATGATATCAAGTTCAACAATTTTTCACTAGATTTCACCGGTCGCACTCGTAACTGGAGTAACCAAACAAATAGTTTTTCTTTGCTTGCATTTTCCAAAGAAGTTAAAAATATAATAAATAAAAAGTACTTCAATGACTGCTACGACTTTATAGGTTATTTTGAGAACAAAAATTAATAAGTTGCCCTTAAGAAGATTACGATACTATCTGCTTGCTGATTTTGTTTTGCATTGAATGTATAAAGGTTTAAGAATTTTTTTTTCGATGTCGGGTAGCTTCGCATTTATGAGTGATGACCAGAGGTCGGAATTAGGTGGAGTTATTTATGTACTTGCATCGAAATGTTGATATTAATGTGGATCTTCCCGGGATTTCTAATGGACAATCCCGTGTGACCAACAATCTTACAACTAAATAATAATAGCAACGTCAGAGATAGACAAATAAAACAAAGATAATTAACATAAAAATTTTTTAGTTTACATTAATTTACAATACAAATTATTGATAGTCTTAAGCAAATTCTCATACGCATATTTCGCCTTTTTTATAAATACGAGCGAATTGCTTCTAGCCTAGACTCATGAGGTTTTGCCTATTCAAACGGCCCATCAGAATCATTTTCCTTGTCCGAATGATTACCAGCAATATTTTTTGGCTTCAATGAATTTCTCCGAAAATTTAAAATCCATTTGTACATTGAAAAAGATCGCTCTACGTCAACTGAGGTGAGGTTAGCAAATTTATACACTTCCTCCTCCTCGTCATTAGTGCATGAAGAAATTTTTTCTGCTATATTTCTGATAGTGTCCAAATCAGAATTTCTATCCATGACTTTTTCCATTTTATCTTCTAAGCTCTCACAATTTGCCCATCTCAAAGCTAATCTCACTGCATCAAATATTTCAAATGATTCCATTAGAGAAAGATCGGGTTTCTGTAGTGATGTCAAAGCTGTTGGTATAATTGAAAAATTTTCGTAAATACGAGACAAATCATCCTTAATGTTGTCATTATTATTAAAAAAATTTAAAGCATTCTCTATTGATTTTGCCTCTTGACTGTTCAACACAGACAATACAGATTTAATTTCATCGAAATGCTTAGCGTAATAGAATGCTGCATCAAGCCAAGTACCCCATCTGGTAATTACAGGTGCAGGAGGTAAAGGTAAATCCGGACACATTTCTTTAAAGATTTTAATTCTTTTTGGTGCCTTCGAAAAACCTTTTTTCATATTTGAAATTAAACTGTCAACATTAGAGTTCTCTTTTCTAATCTGCCCCGCAACAAGATTTAGAGTATGGGCTAAACATGTGAAATGCAACATTTTTCGAAAAGTTGATTTTAAAATTCTACCAGCTGATACAGACAGATTCAAACTTTATGAATATTCGGAAGTTAGCCGTAAAACCTATTTTTAATTTGATTTGATTTAAGGTGTCAGCGGGACGTACAGGAGCGCGACGAAGGAGCCCCACCCCCCACGCTTCACACGCGCACCCGCAGTTGCCGCTTGAACTTGTTAGAGTAGTGTTAGCCACGTCTCAACACTACACGCACGCGCGCGCTGCTTAGAAAGTACAGTCGAGAAAAAAATATTGTTGTTTCTTAATTACGTTTTTGTTATTTTTTTGTATTGTTAAGTTTTATTGTTATTCTCGTTACGTTTTTCACTTTGTTACTTGTTGTTGTATTGGTGAACAACCATGCCACGTGGGCGTTTTAACGTTCTACGTCGTCAAGCAAGAAAAATGGTATATACCGTAATGCAGTTTATGAAAAAGGAAAGTGAAGAAGGTGTTCAAGTTCCGCTGAATTGTGTGCTCCGAAGAACGGCGCTAGCTACAGTTGTTTCTTTAAGTACCGTGCAAAGGATATCGGCAGCAGCTCAGAAGTCTGGCATGTTAGCAGTTTTTCGTACACCTGGAAAAAAAAGGGCAGGAAAAAAACGTGTCACCGGCATTGACAACTTCGATCAAGGAGTTATCAAGAGATGCGTACATAACTTTCACGTGACTGAAAAAGAATTACCAACTTTAAAGCAGTTAAAAAAGAAATTAAAAGCGGACATAAATTTCAACGGATCTGAAACAAGTTTAGGACGAATATTGAAAGAATTAGGGTTCACCTGGAAAAAAGCTCAAAATGAAAGAAAGGTTTTGATTGAACAGTCAAACATTAGATTGCAACGCATAGAATACCTACAAAAAATCAATAGATACCGCTCGGAGGGACGACCAATTGTATATACCGACGATTCATATGTTGATAGCTCACACAGCTTATCTAAATCCTGGAGTGATGGGTCTGTGATGGGATTGAAAACTAAAATATCAAAAGGACAACGTGTGGTCATCGTGCACGCGGGGTCAGAAGCAGGTTTCGTACCAAATGCATTACTCATGTTTAAGGCTGGTACAAAAAGTGGCGATTACCACGATAACATGAATTTGACCAACTATGAAAAGTGGGTAAAGACTCTTCTCGTTCCAAATTTGCGCCCTAATTCGGTTGTCGTGGTAGACAATGCTTCATACCACAACAAACAGGAGGAACCAGCGCCAACTTCCAACTCAAAAAAAGCTGAAATGCAAAAGTGGCTTCAAGAAAAAAACATTTCCTTCGAGGAAACCATGTTGAAGCCGCAATAATTCAAGCTTATTAAGCAAAATAAAGAATGCTTTAAGACATTCAGCATTGACAAAATATAAAAACAAAATAATCACGATGTTTGGCGACTTCCACCCTACCACCCTGACCTTAATCCCATCGAAATGGCATGGGCAGCCATTAAACAGCATGTGGCAAAGAAAAATGTTACTTGGAACATTAATGCTGTTATGCAGCTTGTAAAAGAAAAGGTGAATCAAATGGGTGAAACTGAATGGCGGGCACTGTGCCAAAAAGTCAAAGATATCGAAAAAGTGACGTGGTCATCGACGGATTGACAGAAGAGTTGGTGATTCACCTTAGTGAATCGGATACCGAGTCCGATTCAAGTGAAGACGAGGAAAGTGAGAGTTCTATGGATGACGAACCTTCCACGAGTAGAGAAATGACGATGGAGGGAATAGAGCCATTAGAATAAAACAAATATACCGGTTAAGTGCGAATTGAACTCGCATGAACAGTGTTTCGCAAGTTTTTTCATTGTATTTAAGCCCCCTATAATGTCACTGTTGCAAAATTCATTTATTTTTATTTCTTATTTCATATCTCATCTGTGTTTTAACCACAAAAAGTGATACATATGTACCAAATTTTAATTCAATAAATAACATGAAAATGTAGTAACAGTTTTGTTTTTTATTGACTGTGCACTCAAGTGTATAAAATGGATACGGGTAAAGCATCAAAACATGTATCTGGAACTCTATGATCCCGTGATAAGTTTTTGATACTTCTTTGATGCTATGTCCATATCTATGTTTATTTACTTGACTGTACCTGCGCGCATCTGCACTTGCGGCTAAGTTCAGAGAAGTCATAAAGTTTGAATCTGTCTGTATCATGTATGCCACACTGTCTGTACATAACATTCTAACGTTATCTAGTTTGCTCTCAAATGAACTTCCCCACATATTGTTTAAAGAATCTTGAGCAAATTGTGATATCGTTGTTCCATTTACAGTATCTAGCATTTTACATGCCACTAAGTGAGGCTGATGGCACCTACTAAGTTGTAATGGTCTCACCAACAAATGTACGACAGCTCTTCCCAAGAAATCCGTAGTTTCGTCTACTGAAAGCCATAGCCTTTTATCTACAATCTTACTTTGCATCTCTTGTGCTTTGATTTTAAAAAGCTGATCCAGGTACACTTTTCTCAATAAGGATTCACTAGGTAGTTCAATATTTTTGCAATTGCAACACATGTACTTTTGAAAAATGTTTTAAATACATTGTTGCTCAGTTGGGACCATGGCATGTTACAAAGAATCATAAATTCGATTAAGCCGAAGTAAAATTCTAAAGGAGTGTGGCGCTCGTTCTTCGTGCCTTTATGTACTGCTCCTTCTACATGTCTTTGGAAGTTACTCTGACGAGTTGCATTCAAATGTGCTTCGCATTTAGAGCAGTAAATTAATCTACTTGCATGGTCGTAAAATAGCTCCGGATTGTCTTTGATCCACTTGTTGACGGTGGCTTCTTTGATTGAACTCTGCGCCATGATAATACTTTTAATCTGGAGCAATAAAATTATAAATTTTAGAAAACCGTATGAATGTGTTTGTAAGTATGTGAGAGATAGGGCTCAATAGTTGCGAAGTTTAAAAGATCTAAGCGTGCATAAATTCATACAAATAGACAGACGGCGGGAAGCGAACTTTGCTTTATACTAAAGTTTAAAGCTAAAAAAGAAGATCAATAAAAGATTACCAGAAAATCTAACTCCAATCGTTAACCATATAGTCAATCAATTAAAAAAACGAGTCCCGTATGTTAAGCTTCTTCAGTAGCATTTGAAATCATTGTTACTTTATTGTGATTGTATCAAAGAATATCTTAAGTTAAACAATACAGATTTTGATAACAATACAAGAAAACGTTCTACATAGGGAAAATCTATTTTAAAGGAAATTTAATAAAAATATGAACAAGAAACTTACCAAGTATATCACCAATTTCAAATATCCAATTATCCAATACAGTAAGGCCAAATCAAAGTTCGTTAATGCGTGCCGAAATA